TGTACCTCGCTGCCTGCCGTCCTGCTCGCTGCACTCTCACTCTGCAAGAGACAAACCTGAGTCTGTGTCGATGGAAGGAGCAGCCGTGGTACCACAGTACCCAAGAAAAACTCCTGCTAGCAGTTCCCCTGCAATGCCTGCACACTGCTGGAGCTCTTTATAAAGTGCTGCTTCTCCCCAGTGATCCTGGGGAGCTCTGTGAGGACAGCCCAGTGGGGATCAGCGGGTGTATTTAATGTTTCTGCACTGCAGCTCTGGGAAGGAGGGATTTCCTCCTCCCAAGGAGAGTGGATCCTTTTTCCATATCCACCCAGTCTGGTATCACTGTGTTTTCTGCCATGAATCTCTCTGTAGGTCTTCCCCACAGGGATAGAAATAAGGGTGATGCTCACCAAGACAGATGGATTCTGTCCCAGTTTGGGGAAAAATGCATAAAGAAAAGATGACAGGAGAGAAAGAGACTAGAATGCGTTGGGGGCCTCCAGGTAATGAAGTTAATTGGATATGCTGATTTAAATTGAACGTGCATGTAAGGGTTGTCATTAACTTCCTCACGGACATGTCTGTGATTTAAGGGAAAGATATGTAATGGGATTACTGTTTCACTTTAATTTCAAAGGGAGGACTTCCCACATGGAGAGCAGTGTGCCCCATCAGCCTGTGCTGTCCCTGAGCTCCTCATGTCCTCCTGAATGTGAGGATAGGGGATGCCCAGATGGGAACTGGGGTGCTACATGGAGGGGAACAGGCAGTGCTGCATTGGGGTGCTGCCTCGTGGTATGAGCACAGCCCCATGCAACAGATCTGCTATGAGTTCACTGTGCAATCCCCAGCAAATCTCCACTTCCCTCTGCTTTATCAATGATGTGCAAGTGGCTCTGACCCAGTCCCAGGGCATCCCAAAGCATCCCAATGCCAGCAGTGCTCACTGGCAGCTGAAGAGGTACTTCACATGCAGAACAATTTCATAAAGGGCCTGAAGGGCTCTTGAAAACTTCTCATCTAGAGATGATGTGCAGTTTCTGTTCTGGGTTCTCCCCTTCTGCAGCCTGCTGTGCCTGTTCCCAGTTGTGGCAGAGGCACCAGCATGGGCTGTTGGGTGCATTGATGCCACAAGGAAGTGTGCTCCATCCGAGCATCTCTCCTCATCATTTGGATGTGGTTGTGTACAGCCCAGCTTATTTAAACTGGATTAGAAAACATAAATCCCTTCCACAAAGATGATTTGGTGGAGAAGCACACAGAAGATCTGGGCTGGTATTTATTTATCTCATCCTTTCCTTGGGATCTTCCGCTCTGCTGAGTGTCTGGCTTGTAGGAACTGCCCTCGGTGCCAGGTTGGGGTAGGAGAAACCCTGCAGAACTGTGGATGGAGGAGGAAGGGGAGGACAGTCCAGATCTCACTGCTCCATCCTGTCACTGAGCCCTGCTGCCAGCCTCAGTCCTGCAGATTTTCCAGCAAAAATCCATCCTGGGCAGCTGTAATGGGAAATGCCTAAGAGCCAAAACATGCAGCCTTAAATGACAAAAAAAAATGGCAATTCTGCAGAGATGCACCTTGGCTGTGAGGGCTGTTCTTGTTTTCTGTTTCTATTTCAGGCAGTAGATGCAGTAACGCTCCAGTGCGCCTTCCCAGAGCCGATGCAGCTCCAGGAGAAGCATCCATTTTATGCAAATGCAATGTTGTTTGATGGCATTTGCCCCGAAGGGCTGGAAATCCCAGCATGAAGGGAGCAGTCGGCAGGCTGCGGGGTTGGCTGGGCTTTGCGCTTTGTCACTGTAAAACACAAAGAGCCAATACCCCATTGGGGCTGGATGTGGTGATCTTAAAGGTCTTTTCCAACCCCAGTGATTCTCAGTGATCTCAGCAACCCTCCTGGTGTGCTCAGGGCTCCTCCAGGCTGTGGCATACGGAGAGGATTTGGGATCTGCCACCCAACCAACCCAACGGGTGACCTTGCATCCAGGAATCAGTCCCTGCAGCCGTGGAATACTGAGCACAAGCATTTCATCACGAGAGCCACCCTCATTGAAACGCTCATAATGAAAGCAGACAGGTAATTTAATCACGGAAAGTTGCTACAAAGAGATTCGGTGTCTTCTAATGGAAACCTGCTGGGAGGAACTGGAATGGAATCCAAATGTGGGTACCAGCTGGGCAAGGAAAATACCTGAAACTTCAGCACAGTGTGGGCATGTGGGAGCTCCACGTTGAATTAGATCCCTGAATGGCTCATGCACTTATCACCGTGGGTGCTACTCTGCAACATGAACGTGACACAATATAGTATTTTGCTAATCTCCTAAGATAATGCAGAGCTTATGCCTGCAGGCTGCATTGTGGGGGTATTAGACACATAAATCTGCACTGTGCCTTTGAAGGACCGTGGTTTCCTGAATGGAAAAGTGTTCTGCTTCATCACGTGGGATGTTCTGCTGGGCCTGGTGCTCTGAGCCAGTGCTGATACTGGGATTTGCAGATTATGTCGTTAGGCTCTTTTCAGGCCATATTTGTAAACATGCATCGAGAGCAGCTGAGGAAAATGCTCTGTCTGTCCCAGGTGACTTCTCCAATTCACACCTGAATGTGTGAGCCCGTGTTCTGCCCTCCTGTCTCCTGACAGTGAGCACAACTCTTGTCCTGAACACCTTTGGTTTGCGTTGCCAGCACTGCAGGCATCTCCCTGCACCCACTGCTCACTGTTGTGCTGCACTCATTCATTTCTGCACAGCCCAGTGCTGCTTCCCCTGTGATTTTCTCTCATGCCTCTTCATCCTGGTTGTACTGCAAGGAAGGGCTGTGGGGCCGCAGGGAAGAAAGGCTGCCCTCAGCCCAGCCCCATCCTGCATCTCCCATCGGGTTGGGATCGTGATGCTGGGTCAGCTTTGCTCCCCAGGCACTCAGAAGTGATCACGTCCCTCTCTCCTCCAAAACCTCAGGCCTTTAAAAAGAGCAGCTCTAGGGTCCGTTTCATCACCCTTACCCTTTATCTTGTTGGTGTCTGTGGCACCATGTTTACTAATATGTATTTAGTGCCAGGAAGACACCTGTAAGGTTGGCACAGGGATTATTTCTGCCTCCAGACGCCAACGAGAAGTTTCCTGCTGCAGAGATGATCCCTTTCTTCTTCCGCATGCACAGGAATCATCCTTCTTCTCATCTGACATCATCATCTGTTGTCATGGAAACCGAACTCTCAGGAAGACAGGCAGTGAAACACCCCAGCATCAGCACCTCCTCCTATTGCCCGGGCACTGTGTGGGGTGCTCACAGCTGGAGCTGCTGGGCTCACAGCTGGATGCACAGCGATGCAGGGTGCACTGCCAGTGCCTGGCCATGGGATGGGGCAGAGCCAGGCAGGATGCCCCATAGAGCCCGGCCGTTCAGGGCAGTGCTCCTGGCTCCAGCCCTGACCGCAGCTCCTGGTTGGAATTGGACTGCATGAGGCTCATCCGGTGGTATCTCTCTTCATTAGCCCTGTCTGACCTCATTACTAGAAAGAAGCTCAACGTAACGAGCTGCCAGTGACCCCAAGGGAGCTCTGGAAAGCAGTTGTTTTGTACAAAGGTTGCTGATCCTTTGTGTCTGCAGCTTCCATTCCCATCTGGCTGCTAATCAGGAGTTTGCATGGAAGCAGCTGACTCTGGCAGTGCTGTTTGTTTCTCAGGTGACTTCATGGCATTGTCCCTGTGTCCCTGGGTTGGTGCAGGATTGTGGTGGTGCCCCAACAAGGTTTGCAGGTCCAAACCACCTCTGGTTCCCAGCAGCTCGGGAAGGGACTGAGGTGTCCCCATTGGCACAGGTGCAACTGAAGCAGGATGTGACCCTCTTTATTTGGATTTTGCTGTCTGAGTTCTCAGGGCTTTTGAGTCGGAAGTGTCATGGGTGCAAAGCCAGCTCTCCCTTTGCTCACATTCCCATGCCCTTCTTTTGTGTCGTGGAAAAATCAGGTAAGGAAGGAAGAAAGAAATGCAGAAACCAAACCCAGCTGTGTACCCCGTGTCTCTGTGTGTCGACAGGCATCAGCAGGGCTTCCTAGAAGAGGGTTTATTTAGAGCAGGGGTTCAGTGGAGCCCCTCTGTGCATGTGTGTGAGGATATTAGTGTGTTTTCTGCTGGAGTGGCACCTCTGTGACATCAGGCTCTGCCTTCAGCAGTCCCAGCAGCCCCCTCCCAGCTCTGCAGCCTCGGGGTCACCGCATGGCACCAGCCCGGCACGTGGCACACAGCCAGCATCTGCAGCACTGCCAGCACCGTGTTGCAATCCAAGGGCTGTTCAAATATGCAAATCCTGGTAGGAAAGACAATGTAAACTGTTTGTTTCTCCTCCTCCCTTTCCCCTCGTGCAGCCACCAAGGCCATCAATTATTAACTTTTGGAGGAGACGGCACGTTCCTGGCGGCGCTGGGGATTGTCACAGCGTGGGCAGAGCTCTGCAGGCATGGAGCTGGCTGCTGGAGGTGTGGGACCTGCAGCTGTGGGGCTTGGCAGCTGTATGGCTGTGTTAGCACTCTGCTTGCTCGGGAGGAACGGCATGGCAGTGACATCTGCCTGGGGTTGGGCAGAGGTGGTGTCTTAGGAGGCTTCTGTGGCGTTGTCTAAGTCTTGTTCCTTATGCATCTGGAGAGGAACCATCTCTGCAGTAATCTGGTTAGGCTGTGGAGTGCTCCAGCTCAGGAGCCGACTTGCAGTTGCAAGTTTGGTGACTGCAGTCGTGGCACGTGGGTGATCTGTGCGCTCACCTCGCAGCACAGAGCTTGCTCCTTCATTCTCTTGCGATGGGGAAATGACTTCAGATCCCATGAAGAAAGAGCCTCTGCTCCGACTCCTGCATGCACTCTGCTTGCCAGCTCCTCGCTCTGCCTCCAGGTCCCAAGCTGAGGGTTGGAATGAGAACCTTTTTCTCATTTTGTCCTCTTCCTCTTCCCCTCCACCCCCCGAAGTAAAATCTGCATTTGGCTGCTATGAAATCACCTGCAATGTGGTTGTGCTTCTTCCAGATCCGAGCAGATGGCCCTCCCCATGGTGGAATTCAGTATGAGGTGGTGACAGTTTTCAAGGACGGGAGCCCGGTGCTCCGGGACATGGCTTTCTCCATTGACCACAAGTTCCTGTACGTGATGTCGGAGCGGCAGGTAAGGACCCAGGGGGCTGAGCTGTGTGATCCCCCACTGCAGAGCTCAGCTTCAGCTGCCTCTGCCTGGAGGTTGTCCTCTGCGCACGTGGAGGATGGCTCTCTGCTGGTTTATTGCTGTCTGCAAGTATTGGAAACTGAGCTGGGCTGCTGCAGGGGAAATGTGGTTTGGGGATGGGAACCATCGATGATCGGATAATGAGCTCCTGAGCTGCTGGCGTGGCTGCCTGTTCCCTGCAGTGAGCTTGGCAGGCTGCAGTTTTGCGTAGCTTTATCCGAGCATCCTTTGTGATGGCTTTATTTTTTGATCTACCCATATATTTTAAGTGTTGGGGAGTAAGGAAGGTGAGCACAGAGGTGGGACTGAGTGTGGTGCAAGCAGCTGCCATGCAGGTAGCGCTGAGCCTGTGCTGTGCCATCATTGCTGTGCCATCATCGCTGTGACACCATCGTTGTGCCACCATAACCCTATCACTGTGCCATGGTCACCATGCCACCATTGCCATGCCACCATTGCCATGCCACCATCACCTTGCCACCATCACCATGCCACCATCACCTTGCCAACATCACTATGCCACCATTGCCATGCCACCGTCACCATGCCACCACTGCCATGCCACCATTGCCATGCCACCATCACCTTGCCACTTTGGCTGGTTCAGCCCCCACCGGTGGCAGCCAACATCCTTTCTTGGCTCTGTGTGGTCATAAACAAGTTTTATCTTCCAATATTACACCATGATATTACGAGGAGCATAACTTTAGTGTTTGCATAGCTCTTAAGGTAGGGGTGGTGTGAGTTGGAGGTTGCCAAACCCGAAGGCTGTAGAAAGCCAAACCAAAAAGATTACAGTGGAAATTTATGGCCAGCAGCACACGGGAGCCTGCAGCTTTGGGGAGCCAGAATGGTGTAAATAAGGCAGGACCTCAGCTGGAGCACATCTCATCTGCACCATTCTCTGAGACAAAAACAACACCAGAAGTCCCGTGTGCTGAGCCAGACTTTTGGGTTCACTGACTGCTGAGCGTTTTATTGGCTGTTACTCACCACTGTGTAATTCAGATTTATAGAGCTGGTGCCTCGTGGGTGGTGGAGACAGGAGGAGGGTTACATCTGAGGATGTCTGGATGCCATTAAGTGGCGTTGCCTTGGGTTAACCCTGTGAGTTAACAGTCAGCTTTGCACGCCTGGTGCACGGAGACCTCCACCTGCTGCAGGAGGGACACAGGGAGCTGATGTGCTGAACTGTGTAACAAAAAGATGTGAGGAGAATTAGCAAAGAATGGAGTGCTCCTGGAACGCTGATTCCATGCACAGCCCCCCTGGAGCTGCCCTCTGCCCCCTGGGAGTGTGTGCCATGGGCCCAGGAGCCCCCACACTGACACAGTGTGGATGTTGTCAGCCCCACTGAACCCCACTGCCCCATTTCTGGCAATGCTCAGCAAAATAGAAGGGGGGATGCTTTTCATTTATTCTGGAGTGCTCCGGCTGGAGCCTGATGGCTGCAGGGAGTCGGTACCACGAGGAGGAGAGAGGCCCAAGCTGAGGCTGTGAGCAGTGAGAAGTGCCCTTGGAAGCACTGAGAATGCACAGCTCAAATGTATTGTGCAGTCTGAAGATCTGGAATAAGATGGAATTTCGCCACAGTGAAGTGGCACCGGAGCAGCTGTGCTGAGTGTGAGCTGGGAAGGGCTGCCCACAGTCTGTGGTTTCTAAGAAAGAAATAGGATACGTGCCTATGGCAAAACTGATCTGATAGACACTGCATTTCTGTGGGATTTAGCAAGGAGATGTGCTCCCATGGCACAGACTGGGAGCAGTCCTGAGCTCCGTGCTGCTGTGGGGTAGGAAACAAACCATTGCATGGGTGCAGCGTTCTGCCTCACACTGTGATTGTGCTCAGAGCACACGGTGAGCTGTGATGTGCACACAGGTGCTTCCAGCACATCCGTGTCACTTCTGTGTTGATCCCACCTCCCTCCATGCTCGGAGCAACTCCATGCTGAATGCGGAGGGAAAGCGTTTGCTTCATCCCAAAATCTGGAGCTCAGTCCTTCCCCACTCCCCCTGGCTCCCATCCCAGCCCTGTCTGCTTCTCTCCAATTTATCTGCAGTCCTTTGGAGCTCTCCGTGAGCCTTTCATGTTCCATTGCCAACTCCTTCCAAATCAGAATATTTGACATTTGATTTTACTCCCACAAAGCACAGAAGCAACAGTTGCACAGTCTGGTCCCGGGAGGAGGGAGGGAAGGAGGAGGATAAAGAAACTTTGCTTCCATCCTCAGCACCAGTTCTTTAGCCGCATGATTTAGGAGTGCTCATTAGGAGCTTTCACAGGCTCTCTTGAAGCACCTGGCTGCAAATTCCTTTCATGGCAGAAGAGAAGGGATTCTGACCCCAACTATTTAAAGGAGACAGGCATTTCTCAGTGTTGATCCAGCAAGCAAACACCATCCAGCCCACAAGCTGCCAGGGCTTGAGCATCACAAGATGCTGCTGGAGCATCAGTGAGACTGCATGGGGCTGCCCCATGTGAAGCAGGAGGGCCTTACAGACTTGTGTGCCTGCAGCTGGGCCCTGGGAGCCTTCCAGCAGCACCCTGCAGCCCTCCCTCCTGCCTGTATGTCCCCGTGGCTGTATGGAAGAGCTGTCTCTCCATCTGCTCTGCTAGCAGTGAAATATTTGCTTAGCAAATGCCCCCGTGTCGGGAGCTGCAGAGCTGAAGGAGCCTCTGGGGATGATTTGTTTCACCATTCCTTGTCCTGTGACCCCGTGCTGCGTAACTCCTGAGCAAAGGGTGTTGTGTTGGGCTGAGCTTTCTGGGTGCTGATGGAGGGGAGGGAGCTGCCAGGGTGATTTAAAAGAGTTTGGAATCAGAGTGAGGAAAACAAAGAGCTCCATCAATTCTGGGGTAGAGGTGCTGTAAATACTGATGGTGCCCAGAAAAAAAGAGTGAGAAAACACGATAAAAAATGCAAGAGATGTGGATAAAAGGGGATGGCTTCATCAAGAAGGACAAAAGAAAAAAAAAAAAAAAGGATGGATTAAATTTTTAACTGCCTTGTCTGCTGGTCAACCAGCTGAGCATCATTGCAGAGGGCAGGGCTGTGCTGCAGCACCTGCTTGTCCCATGCTCCTGCAACACGTGCAGCCATGCAGGGCTTATTTCACTTTCCTCCCTGTGGTCAATTAGCAATAATTAAGAAATGTAGGTACAAGCTTGCCTGGGATCATTAACCATACCTATGTGATAAGAAGGATGTGCTAATGAATGCCAGCTGACCAAAAGGCCGTGGTATTTCAGGGCTCTGAGGCTCAGGGACTGAAAGGACCTGCAGAATTGCTGGGATGTACGGGCAGCCACCAGGAATCCGAAGGCGCAGAGCAAAGGGCAGACAGCTTTGAAGTAACACATACTTGAAAAGTAAACTTCCCTGCAAGAAGCAGTAAGAAACCACCCCTGTGTGAAAACTCAGCGTCAGGGGTCGCTGGGTTTGTTTTGGTAATGGGGTGTATTTCAGACGCTGCTCACACGGCTATTTCTTTCAAGTGCTCACGAGGTTTGTTTGTTTTGGGTTGGTTTTACTTTGTATTAAGTCTATTTTTTCCCCTGCCAGTCACAGCCACAGGGTTCCCATGTATGTGCTTCCCTTTGCGATTCCTCCCCATCCACAGACCTATTGTTTAATTTTCAGACGGGCAACCGCAGTCCTGAAATCCTTCCAGGATTTCCCTGCATGCACGTACACACACACACACACTGATCCCCTGCTCAGAGCACTGGTGTGCATGGGACAGCTGCAGTGCAGAGCAGCTGCTCTGATCCCATGTGCTCCAGGTCTGCTTGCTGCTCGTGTTCCATGGGGCGTTGCATTGCTGTGCCCCCACCCCCTCATGCATCCTCCTGACTTTGTGCTGCAGCACAGAGGGGTGATCCTATGGGTGCAACGGTGGCAGAGCCCCCCACCAAAGCAAGCTGGGACTTCTGATGCATGATGGACAAGCTGAAGCAATGCCATGCTGAGCTATGGTGGGTTTTGCCCCTGTTGGTCTCAGATGACCCCAGCAGGGCTGCAGCAGCACTCAGGGACGCAGCCAGAGCTCTGTGTTCCTCTCTATCAGAGACGTTTAAAAGTCTTCCCCTCCCTGTGCTGCTGTGGCCATCCCCCCAGCAGTGAGTCTGGTGAGGAGGGGAATGGTTCACACCGGGCACGAATAGAAAAGAAACATAACTCACAATATGGTGAGAGTAGCTCTGAAATGGCACAAATTATTCTACTTTATACTTTAATTAGTTTGAATTAGCAATGGGAATAGATGCATAGAATGATCCAGTGAAGGGTGAAATGGAAAAAGGGATACGGGGTAGAGTATCACTTTATTATTGTGAAGTTTGCAGGAAGAGAGAGCAGGCGATGAGCTGCTGCTCTGAGTGCTTGGCAGGGAGGTGGTGAGGACTGTGCTGCAGCACAGAGCCCAGGGCTGCTCCATCCCTGGTCTGGGGGCAGAGAGCTCTTTTCCCTTCAATGGTCTGAAAAGTTCTGCAAAATCAGATTGGTTGGGCTTTATTATTTTCTGTTTCAATTCAAATCACATGGGGAAGTACAGCTCTAAGCATGCTTTCTTGCAATAACACTGAAATGAGCAGGGCCAAAACACGCAGTCAGTTCCAGCCCAAAACCTCAGGACACACCAGCCCAGCCTGTGGGATCTCAGGGCCGTCCCAGTGGCACCACTTGAACAACAGCTCTGCATCTGGAAACCAAATTCCCACCAAAGCATTAGGAAAGCTTTCAAATAATCAGGGAAAAAAGAGTTCCTGCGGATTCCAGACAGCTTGGAAGTGATGCCTGTGCCCTGGGGGAGGTGGCTGTAATGGTGTTTCATGCTGGGACTAAACATAAAAGTTAAGGCTGGTTGCAAAGCAGAAAAACACAGCTTGTGGGTTTTGTTCTCACTTTCCCTGCTCCTTCCTCTTCCAAGGCAAAATGTTTGCT